TTTTCCATTATCCCTAGATAACTCCAATATACCACAGTAGTTTCCATTTTCTTTTCCATTATCCCTAGATAACCCCCATATACCACAGTAGTTTCCATTTTCTTTTCCATTATCCCTATATAACCCCAATATACCACAGTAGTTTCCATTTTCTGTTCCATTATCCCTAGATAACCCCAATATACCACAGTAGTTTCCATTTTCTTTTCCATTATCCCTATATAACCCTTATATACCACAGTAGTTTCCATTTTCTTTTCCATTATCCCTAGATAACCCCAATATACCACAGTAGTTTCCATTTTCTTTTCCATTATCCCTAGATAACCCCAATAGAATCCCTAAACTCTACCATCTCCAGCCTCCTGGCGGCTGGCTGGGAGGCTCTGCCTCTACGGCTCTCCGCGGCGGCAGCGGCGAGGGAGCTCTTGCAGAAGGATCCTGCACTAATCTGAGTTGCTGTTAAGGAACTTAAAAAAAGTTACCAGAATGGGTATATATAGTAAATAATAGGGTTTCCCCAATATAGTAACTTAGTTTAAGTTCCTTAACAGCAACCCAGTAATTCATGAGCTTGCAATGTGTGTAAAAAGACTTGGCCTTCCCCGTGCTCCTTGCTTCTTGTCCCCCAGTTGGACCTACTCCAAAGCTTGGATTTGCAGCCTGCGCGATTGGAGAAAGTGTGGTGGGTTGGAGCGTGGAGGCGGTGCAGGGAGGCTGGGGGTGGGTTGAATTGGGCGGCGCATGTCGAGGGCCTCCTTTAGGCAGCAGCTTTTGCAAAAGATTTTTTCCACTTGAAGCCTGAATCGCTCAGTACCCGTCTGGCAAAATGTGTTACATAGCCGCCGACCCCAAACCCTAAACCCTCAAACCTCAAGCAGATTCCTTGACTTAGTCACCAAACTTTATGCTACCTTATGAGGGATTCTGGTAACCCCAATCCCCCAAATTAGGACCCTATAAGTCCTAATTTTGGGGGTTGGGGTTACCAAAATCCCTTTGTCAGGTAAGGGGTGCTATAGCAATATGACGCCAAGTCAGACAGTCCTGCGTTTCGGCTACGGTCGGTTGCAGCCTTTGCAAGTTTGTGGTTAACGATTTAGAGAGTCAGGCCCAGGGTTTGAGGTGCAGGGAATTGGCTCAAACGTGTTGAGCTAAGAGGGTTCAGGTCTCACAAGGTTAGTTACAGGGTTTAAGGTTCGGAATCTTTCGCCCTAGACCCTAGATCCAAAATCCTATCCTGAACCCTAAACACTAAACCCTATAAGCCCTAATCCCTAAATGCGAGGTAGGTTTTGCATTCATCTTCTGCTTAAGGCGCCGCCCCATTCACCTGGTCACCAAAGAATCCCTGCCTCGCTCCCCATGACCCAATTCCGGCTATTCTTGTTTGGGGGTCCTAAGTGGCGCAAGATTTCCTCCATTCACAATATTATCACAACTACCGTTCTTCTCACTGGAATTGCAATTACGATTGTTATTCTTATTCCCTGAACCCTTCAGACTAAGAGTTACTCTATTGCCTCGCCCAGGGCTCGCTGAACATGTCATCCTCATTCTCTATCCCTAAGCTCCCCTAAGCTCTCAAGGCTCGGGGCTTAGGACCCCCGAACCAGAAATCCCTCAAAATCCCTCAAACCTCTTCCAGCCCCGAGTACTCCTAGCTCTAAAAGGCCTCTATACCCGAAGCCTAATCAAAATATGGAACCCTAGAAGGAGTCCTATGAAAATAAATTTCTTTACTCTACTGCTATGATACAGTAATACCTGAACCCTACACCCTAAACCTTGAACCCTTGAACGCCTCACCCCCTAAACCGCCTAAATCCCCTGAATCCCCTAAACCCTAGACCAAACGATATTAGGAAAATAGCCTATCAATAGCAGCTCCAGGGACCTTCTTGCTGAAGGCTCAATGCTTACTTAAACGGACGGAAGTAAAACAAAGGAGTCCGACCCAGACAAATCACAGTGGTCCGTCATGGCCGCAGCCTCAAACTAGAGTACAAGGCCCAGCTAAGGCAGCTCCATGTTAGCTAGGGAGGCGCCACATCTTCAGCCGAGTGACGAATCCAGCAGGTCTGATCCGCAAGATGGATTTCCCGGAGAGTTGCCTTTCCAGCTCGTCATGGGTTGTTTGGGGTTGGAGGTTTAGGTTTAGGGCTTAGGGTTTAGGGCCGGGTGTGGTTTAAGGCTTCTGACTTCTGGTCCAGGGTCTAGGGTTGTTTATCGTTCAGGGCTTATGGTTTAAGGTTTGGTGAGGTTGCAACTCAGTGTACCTATGAAAGGAAAATATTCGGCACCCAGGAAGATCATTAAAACACACACTTCGCAGACACTCTATACCTCAAAGTAGGTACGATTTACCGACTTTTGGGCCCAATGTACGTATGATTTGTATACTTGGATCCCCAGAACAAGCCTTGAAAGCCTAAGCCCTGAACCTTAACCGCGAATCCTAAATCGCGGGAGAGATTTCTGCTCCCGCTCGGGAGCGCTTGGCACGTTTCAGAGCCTGTGTCCGGGGCGGGGGGTCCGAAAAGGGGGTTAAGGGTTTAGGGTGAAGCGATTTATGGGGATACATACCGAAGAGTTCCTTAGTAAGGATCATATATGGAGAGTTCTCAAAATCCTGGCCTGTTTTTGGGGGTAACCTAACAGTTAGCCAGATCACATGGGGGACCCGAACCCGACAACGAAGCTAGCATGTAGTATGAAATAGTATGCGCCATAAGCCATTACAGTAAACTACGCAAACAACACAGGAACCACAGGTTCCCCTTCGGCCCTATGCCCTCAATCTTGCGGATCCAAGGCCTACGATTGGCATGGTACTGGAACGTATAAGCAAGACAAGATCCCTAATACCAAAGCTACGCCCAGGAAGCATACCTCTTGAGAAGTACTACGAAAGATAGGTGCTCTCACGACGGGCTATGTCACACACCTTTCGCTTAACCTCGTGCCCGCGGTTGATGAACTAATTCTTGTACCACTTGGCGATGTGGGGCCCTAAACCCTAAACCCAAAACCCTAAGGGGTAACCACGGGGCCCAAGGCAAGCTCTTGCAACAGCACCCCCATCTCCAGAGCTGAGAATATTCAGAGGTTTACGGGCAGACTTCTGTCGGGGCCCCTGTAGCCACATGTTGTCACAAATTGCAATATCAAGGTGGCTGCCCTGTGCATGACCTCAATCAAAACTTCCCAAAACAAGGCAAATGGTTACGGGACACCCAGTATGTAATCTCCATGCAATACCCAGAGAGAAGCTGGCAAGTACTTTTAAAGGTCCCCCCCCATATGATTGTGTGAATAGCTTCCCTCTTGCAACAGTAACGGACATCCACAACTATCCCGAACTGCTACCAAAGAGCTCTAGAAGACAGATCATGAGCAAGACCCATGCATACGGCACTCAGTTTTCTGCCAGGCTGGATCCATGTAAGTGCACCAGTTGGGCTGTGCCTAGAGCATTTGACAGAACGAGGCTTCCTTTGCGACATGATGATGATTGCTGCTTGAAATAATGCTTGAATTTGAGGCCCCTCCCAAGAGGGAACGACTTTGGCACAACCCCCTTAGATACTAGCAACTTGCCCTCAGCCAGCTGCCGGTGGGGACCTGGGACCAGGGTCAGTGCCTGGGGGCTTGGCCGGATCAGAACTGCCTGAAGGCTGGGCTGGCAGATCTGCCTTTGCTGCTGCAGCAGGTGGGTTCTTGGGACCAGGGATGATGCCTGGCGGCTGGGCTGGTGCATCGGCCTTCGCTGCAGTAAAGGGGGCGATTCCTGGAGGCTTTGCAGGATAGGGGGCGATTCCCGGAGCCTTTGCAGGATAGGGGGCGATGCCCGGAGGCTTTGCAGGATAGGGGTTGATGCCCGAGGGCTTGGCGGGTATATGCGCCTTCGCTGCATAGGGGCTGATATGCGGAGGTTTGGGATGGGCCTTGCCTGCCAGCACAGGGGCCTTGGGTTGAGGGGGACCTCGCAAGGATGTGCGGGCGCGCGTTGCTGCTATGACTGCAGTCGCAGACCTCCTCAGACCGGGGACCTTGGGTTGAGGGGGAGTGCGTTTCTGAGGCTCTGATCCCGGTGCCTTTGCGGATGGGGACGCCTGGAAGGGAGACCACCATCCCCAGCCGGAAGATTGCTGTGATGGATTTGCTGGTCGAACGTCGGCAGCTTGCAGGGGCTGAGACCTGAAGCAGAGAATCAAGAAGGCCTTTAAAATATTCATGGAATAGAATAGCGTCGATCTAGGGTAACAAAGGCACACTATGGCTCTGAAAAGTCGTCGCCGTCGTCGGCGGCGGCTGCGGCTGCGGCTTCTCTTGCTGCCGTTACTGTTGTCGCTGTCGCCGCCGCTGCCGCCGCTGCTGCTGACGCTTCTGCTACTGCCGCTGCCGCCGCTGCTGCCGACGCTGCTGCTACTGCCGCGGCTGCCGCTGCCGTCGCAGCGGTCGCTGCTGCTGCTTCTGCTGCTGCTGCCTCGTTGTGGTGGTTGTGGTCGCGGACGTGGATGCGGCTATCGTCATCGTTGCGTCTTCTCCATTGTCTTCAGGAGGAGGAGAAATTGAATGGGCATAACAGAACTAGCAGGCATCAAACCGGCAAGTCTGTGCTGTTCAGGTCTTTGGGACATGTGCCGCATCGACGTATTGTGTGTGAGGCAACAGCAATTTCAAGCTACAACGTGCGAACGAGCTGCACTACTGAGAAAGCAAAAGTCTTTGAACTTGATAACACATCTCAGCCGCAGTTTTTTTAAGTCTAGCAGAGTGAAGACACACGCAGATCTCACACACCAGAAGCAGCCGTGACATTTGTCGAACATGTCCGAATCCAAGGATCACTATCCCCAAAAAACCAGGAGGCCTGCAAGCGAATTGCAACAGAGACCTTATAGATTCTGAATCCAGAACTGGAGTTCGCAAAAGGCAGTAGCGATCCATCATCCTGAAAGGAACGCTTGTGGGCAAGAGATGTTCTGACACTGACATACCCCAGCAGACGATTTAGGATTAAGGTCTAGGGGTGTATGGTTTCTCCCTGAGTCCTAAGCCCTCGTGTGGCGTTTAGGCGTGCATGAGCTTCCACAATCTCTTCAAGGCCAAAACTAACATCAGCCAACATTGGACTGGAAGGATTGAGGGTTTGGGGTTTAGGGTTAGAAGCAGTCTCGGACCTTCAAAAAGAGAACCCAACCTTCAATAAGTCTGAGATCTTGAAACCGCAATGCCACCCCTCTATGTAGCAAGCGAACAGGAAAGGTAGCTGCATGCAGCCCATATAACGCTCCGCGTAGTGAAGTCTAAAATCCTCTGGCTCAAGGCAGGAAAACAACGTCATGTGTCATCGTTACTTGCCTACAAGTTCCAGAGTCTGTACAGCAGATGCGACGCAATGATGTTGAACCAAGCTTGAGCGACCGACACTCGTAACCCCTCCAAATCCGGATTCAAAATACCCATCACGCGACGGCCAAGAGATCTTTGTACTGCGGGTTGGGGCTACTTCAATAATACCACAAACCTTAAACCCAAAAATCCGGGAACCCGCTATTTCCTGGTATGGAAAGCCTACTTTGCATGCACTATATATAGATACTAAGCCCCGTAGACTTTAAGGTATCACATGGTCATCCCTATGAACCCCATCAAGCCTACAGACCCTACAAACCCTGGAGACCTGCAGTTGAAAACCCTAAACCCCTAAACCCTAAACCCCAAAACCAATAAACCCTGAACCCCTAAACCCTAGACCGTCAATGCCCACCTCGCTGGCTCGCTTTGGTTTTCGAACGTATTATAGGTCTTGTGACCTTTCTCGACGTCTCCAGCACCGCTCTCCTCTTGAACATATGAGCTCCAAGTATCCCCCTTAAATAGTGGAGAAGCAAATGGAAAGAACATGGAACATGAAATGGAACCTGGGGTTATATGCAGGTTTAAGGGTTATAGCCTAAACTCCTATGATTAATAAGCCCTAACCCTTTTAAGGACTTTAGACTATAGCTCATATGGAAGGAGTTTGAGGGTGCGAGCGGGTGTGAATTTTACAGGCTTATAAAACCTTTAAGACATCAAAGTCATGAAGGTCACGTGGGTATTCCCAGATATTGACGTACACTATGGCTAGAATGAAGCAAACTCATGAGCCCCTTCTGCATGGCTTCTAAGGCGAAGAATTCTTTGTAGAGTTGCAAAATACCGTTTGTTGGCGGTGCTGGCTATGAAACGCACCGATGTTTTAGGGGGGGGTGAGGTAGCATGTCATGCCATGGCTTACGGCAGGTTACTAATGTTGCGATGACTTTAGTGAAGAGGCCTTGTTTAATGTGTTCTCGCCGCAGCTTATTCAGGATCTTGCCATTGTTGGGAAGGTCCTGTTTAATGCGTTTTGTTTTTGAAGCCCTAAAAATACGGGACCGCATCCAGACCATCCTTTTTCAAAGAATCTCCAAGGCCTCCCGGCGCCCTCAGTACCGTGGGACCCTGATTCAGGACGTCTAATTTCATTTTCTGGTGCCCTATTGTTAGGCGGGGGCAGGGGTGTAAAGTTTAAAGAAGGTCCAACATTAGTTACTAGGGCATGAAGGAAAAGAAAAATGAAGTCCACCCAAGAGGGTCACGGTTCCTTTAATCTAAAGTTTGTCATCATGAATGGGATCCTCCTTCTTCTTATCATTGGCGTGCTTCCGCGTACATTGGCGAATAGCATCCACTGCCACGTAACCTCAGCTTTTGCTGGGTGCAGAACACCTTGGATGAACGTCAACTACACCCATACCCATGAACCTGTTGCCGAACTAGCGTGGGCGCTCTGACTTCTACAAATGATACCTGCTTGGAGCCCTTGTAAATGGAGCCTCGGAGTTTAAGGTCTTGATCAACAAGGGAGTCCAAATATCCCAAATAATCATGTTGCAATGTTGCTACTCAAATCAGCGTAACTCAACATCCTTAACCTTAAGCACGAACTCCACAGCGTCATATTTCAAGATATAAACATAAAAAAACGAGTGTGCCATCATAGTTTAGGTCAATCGTCATCCACGTGGAAAGCGTTTGAACAAACTAGGAACTCTCGCCATCACGCATCCACCCAACCGCAGGGGTATGTCAAGAAATGTCAGGGCATTTTCGGAGCATCATATACCTTTGACCTCAAACCAGAAAGCATGACCCGTAGGTTTATGAAGCCTCCCAAACCTACATCGAATCCAACCACTGCTGGTTGAGTGACCGGTCAGGCTGTGAAGTATCCAAAGCGGCGCCCATGGAATGAGAAGCAACTTCGGATCTACCTGATGCAGGTTGCTACCATCTGGTTGGAATGACTTTGGCCATGTCGACCGCGAGCACTATTCCCGTAACCTTATATTTTTCTGCCACGACCGAGGCAGGCATAACTACTACTGTTGTTATTGCTGTCTCAATCATGCCGTGGGTTGAGAATACTGGCTTAGGTTCGGCAACAGTGGCTGAAGCTTTGGGCCTAGTTGTGACATAGTTTCACGACCAAACCCTGCACTCTACATCGCGCAGACCTAGCAGGTAACAGGAAGGCAAAGTAGGGCCTGTCCGGGCTTCGTGCATGGAGAAATCAAGGGTGAGCATAAATTCACTTGCGAAACGCCCTCCATCCATAAGAAGACTATCTTCAATCAGCAACTAACAGACAGCGAATGCCCAACATTCGACGTAGTCACGCAAAGCTCACAGAAAGCTGGTCTTGATGCAGAGTCACATCTCGATTGAAGGACAGTGCGAAGAAGAAACGCACGGATCTGAATGTCACTCCCGCAAAGTATATAGCTCCTGCCGGCTGGGCAAAGCTGATCGGACGCAAAGGATTGCAATGCTCAAGAAGTGGGATGGCAAAATGCGTGGACAGAAGCTATCACAAGTCCTGCCGTGCAAAATAACTGAGTTCCAAAGACCCCAATGCTCCGCAACATAACTTCTGAATCCGACTTCCTTGGCCTACACCATCTATCATCCGCCAAGTGTGGCACTGTAATCCTATACCACTGTTTGCACAGCGGCTCCAGCCAGGAGGGCACTGAGCAAAAAACCACGGACCAAAATTTGTACCTCCTTGGGTGAGGGGCGGAGGCCTAAACGCCTACCACCATGATGTTGAGCTACCTGAGATACCCTATACCACAAGTGTACGAGGAATTCAGAACCGTACTGATAACACTGACTGACAATTAGTTGCACTACTTGTCGCGGAATTTTGTCAGAAGATGAGGGTTCCGGCTGCTCACAGACAGGACTGCAATATTCAAAGCCCGAAGAACAAAACATGCGGACCGCCTCATGCATATGGGGGTCTCAGGGACTTAGGTTGCAAGTCCCCTGATTGGGGTCAAACCTTCCAGGCCATCAGCAAAGCCCCTGGAAGATTGCGTTGAGAATTTTCAGCGGGCGCTGGAATGCTCTGGGTGGGGGAAGGTCAACTGGCAATGCTGAAGCATCTGCAATGCCGCGGCCACATTAACCAATAACATCATATAACTCTAACACTGCACTGCTGCAACGACGTCTGAAGGCTCAACAAATGTCTGTCGGATTTTGGATTTCTTTTTCTTTGGGCGGGTGTCCTTCGTTCCCGCAATTCTCGAGAGGACCCGCCAACCATTCATAACATCCCAGGAGTTGCCTCGCAAATTGTCAACGGCTCCTGCAAATACACGCCTCACCCTTCCTCGCGCAGCAGACACCCAGGCGCCCAAAAATCCCGGCGGCCCGGCTTGAACTCCTCTCGCTGCGGTGGTTCGTCTCGTGCCCAGTCCCCACAAACCGCAGGCAATGCGACATTTTTGTCGAGTTGAAACAAAATCTTTAGTTCACCCGCGCTGCCGCGACTGCAATGTTTGTTCGCTGGCGCGAAGGTGCTCCGGTTTGGCAGATGGCTTCTGCTAGGACTGTGAGCTGTATTCATGGTCTGGGGTCGGTGGCCCAGCGTGTCCTGAGCCTCTAAGTACGCTCACATTTAGGAGCTTAATTACGGGCTGAACGTTGAGGAATAAGAGGTTTGGAAGTCTCGGGACAGGTTTCAAGCTTGGCGGTTCAGCATGAAAGCTCAGAATCCACCTGCGGATCCATACAATAAGCTGTGGTGAATGGAGCCGCAGGTATGGCTTGAGTCATGCTTTCTTGGCGCTCGGGAGTTCAGGAGGACCAAAAGCTCCAGGCTTCTTTTGGAAAACGACGGAAAAGGGTAAGGGGTGGTTCGAGTAGAAATTTGGGCTTCTGCGCTTTTTTGCAGTACGCTCCGCGGCTTACTGGTTGAACCCTTGCAGAATAACCGTGCTGCCTGACAGGTCTTCCAGTTAAGGCACTGCATCTCGACAGACCTTCTTCATGTCACCGATTGAATCAATCTTCTCTTTCCTGGGGGACATGCGTGTATTGGTCCAGAGCTTGGCAAGTGGAGCTTGAGGGTTGCGACTTTAGACTGCAAGTTCTAGTGCTATCCTATGTCCTAGCACTTCGCAAACTTCCAGACAGCAGCAGCTGGGCTTCAGAGCGCCTGGCAATCCTCAAAGCTAATCTGACTCTTCGCCAATTCTTGGGTATCAAGATATGAAACCTCATTTGAGTGTGTAAAACTTTCCAGGGTGCCCATGACAGAGGGCTATGGTACTTCGAGGGCGAGGGACCGGGACCTCCTAAACCTTAGATCCTTATGAAGAGCACCATGGCATGAGCCTTGACCGTTTCAGACCCTTACGCTTACCACACTTCGCCTGCTATACACGCCAGTCCCATTTTCACTGATAGTGCCAGTTGCTTCAACAATCTGTAATATTACTAGCGCCGTGCCTCACCAGGCTCAGGAGGCGAAATCGGGGCTTTGCCGGGTACTTGTCATTAGAATCGCTTTATCGGAGGTACCAAATGACCACCTTTACTCAGACTCCGTGCGCACGAAAGCGCAAAGCACCTATGGGCACAGGTTGTTTGGGCTCTGGCGTAGTAGTCGTGAGACCTGAGGCCCCTGGAGCTTCCATGCTGGAAATCATATCCCCACATGCCCCGCCAAAATCCGCCAAAGTGACGTCAACTTGGAGAAGGTAAGTATAGTCAAAAAAACCATCCTGTGCAGATTCTCATGTTTTGTAACGCAAGTGACCTGAACCGCAGATGCGCATGAACCGCAGGCGCCGCAAAAGGCTTCCAATGGTGCGCACTTTTCCAACAGGATCCTTTAACCTTCCATGAGAGAGAATCGTTAACAGAGCCCCTTCCTATCACCTTCCACATTCAGGAGCTATCCCCTCCAGAATCAAGGTCACAAAAGGTCTCCTTTGTAGATGTCGGCCTTTGTAATTTAAAGGAGTGAAGATGGCGCTCATGCTGTTTACAAGAGGAGTGATTTCGCAACAGCAATCAAGCTTCTCCTCCGGCACCGTTAGGCAAAGTGGGCCACAAACACCTGCACTGCAACAGGCCGTCCACCGAATCTTATTCTGGAGTCTGTTGCGATACCGGTCTTGGCCTCGGCTTCCCAGCAGGCCCAGCATCGCTTAGATGATATTCTCAGGGGTCCTAGTAGCAGTTAGGGTCTACTCCCTAATTAGGGGATATTGGGCTTTCTAACCTCGAAACTTAACCAAACGCAAGATCACGGTCATCAGGGTCTAGGCCCTGTTGAGGCTGGACTGCCGCGTTGGTCTGACAAAAAACCTTCTTGGGTTGCGCAAGATGGTATGTCTTGGGCAGTACATGCATGCAAGTACTCCCTTTCATCTGCTATATGGTTTAGCACTTAGAGATGCTTGGTAATCTAAGTTGCAAGTAAGTACTCCTGCTCATCGCCAATTACAAGCACTGGGCACCGAATCTCGAAACCATCTTTGGAACGTCTAAAAACAGCTGGCCCTTGGTTAGCTAGGAATGAAGGAATGGATCCTTATAGTAGTCCTTATACAGCCCATATTGTAGTAGTTTCCATTTTCTTTTGCATTCCTTCATTCCCAGCCAACCAAAGGCCAGACAGGGAATGAGGCCCATAAAACCCTGTGGACATATTGACATATTAAGGGGTATGATACACACAAAGTTGCTTCAGCAACCAAATTTGGGCATACCCTGAAGTGCTAACCAGCTGCTCATCATCCAACCGGCCATCAAAGTGGAAACCAAGACAAACAACATGATGCCGCCAACGACGCACACAAGTACCTCGCTTCATGTAAAAAGCTGGTAGGATTGCAGGTTTGAAGGTTTCTGGCTTCAACACTTCAAATCCAAGAATCTAGGCGCGTTCCACTCCCCGGCTGCTGGCTCAAACCTCGGACCCCAAGGGCCCCAGGCCTTCCAACAGCCAGGACGGCTCCGCGAGCACATGTCTAGTTTCGTCGTTTGGGCTCAAGCTTGTCAAGCTTGTTAAGCTAGTGCGCACACCCCAGTTCTGCTTACCGGGAAAAAGGAATATACTCCCTGTGTACTCCCTATATAACCTTTCCCTTGTTCCATACTAACCCACAGTAAGTCTGAGAGCTAGATGTCTGCAACTCTTGCGTTGCAGTGGTGAAGTGGCTTCAGACAGTGGCAGATCTCCCACGTTCTTCTTGCAGACATCCGTTTTTGCATAGCACTGAGATTGAGATTCTGGACTTAAGGCTATTGAAATTAGGGCCTGAAATTAGTGGGGTCTGGTGGCACCTCGAATCACGAGGGCGTCTGTTCCGTGAGGTGTCTATCCCAGAGCAACAACGGGTATGTTCCTTCGTTTGGAGACAACGCGTCAGCTTCGAGGCATGATGGTTTAGGGTAAAGGGTGTGGAGCAGGCCTCAACAATTGGATGACGACGGGATTCAAGATTCAGGGTTTCAGGCTTTCGGGTGAGGATTCAGGGTTTTGCTTTCTTCCATTACGGGCCAAGTCCAGCAATCTGCGGCTGGTTAGTAATCTCTACAGCAGTCCCCACAAATAAGCTCATGCATTATAATCGTTTGCATGTTGTTTTCCGCCCGCTAGACCTTACACACTGGTAATTACCATGGCCTTTTCTTTCCTTTCAGTCCACATTTGACATGACCACCCGTAAATCTAGGCACATTCCTAGTCAGCTTGCCGGAAGGCCTTGCTATCCAAGGCAGGGGTTAGAGGTTTAGGGTTTGAGCTTTGCCATCAGTTTGTGACCGCTTCACAACGGAATTGAGTTCCCGCTTCTGGCCGTCCTCATAACATGTGTGTGTTTTTGTGGGTGCTTAAGTGTTTGGGGGTATTTAAGGAATCCTTTCTTGAATAACCTAGCACTCAGCTATGGCTGCGGAGGTACTCCAGGGCTCAGCCGCAGGCTATTTGCAGCGCTGTCGAGCTTGAGTGTGCGGCTGATCCAATCGTGCTGTTTCTGGGACAAACCATGGGATCAGATTCTAGAGATCAAGGGATTGGGGGGCCGAGTCCCCAATGCACTCTTCCTGCTAGACGACGGACTAAGGGAAAAGTGTCAAGAGTTCATGGTTTGAGGATCTAGGATTGCTTGCCTTAGTGTTTGACAGGTTTGCGGGTATCTTGCTTGAGCATTCAAGTCTTGTATTCAAGGGCATAGGGCTTGAGATTGAGTAATTCGTGGCTCGGGATTCGGGATGGTTGCGAGCTTTGTGTGGAGAAGTTCGGGATGTAGGCACAGCTTGTAGCAATTCAGGGTTCTGAGGTTCACGAGTCTTGAGGGTTAGGGGGCTTCAATAAAGATTTGAGCGTTCCACCGAAACATGTCAGAAAAACATGGTTTTCTTGCAGCTAATGAACCATGTGGCACACTCTGAGCTTGAGAACCCCATGTTCAGAAACTCAGGGGGCTTCACTGCCCCATGGACACCCAGCCCGAGTCTAGGTGCCTTAGTTGTTGTGTTTTGCAGGGAGCTGTGGTAGAGCCCGAATCCCTTCAAGTATGGCAACCCCTCCATATGGGAGTTGGCCTTAACTCAAATGCATAGGGGCCCACAGCACAAACGCCCTATACGCTGAACCGTGTCATGTGCTTCTTCAGTCTCTGCGCTCCTCCATACTCAGGACCTCCTGGTCAAAGGCCAACAAAGCACGCTCTTCCAGAAGCGTGACATTCCTTGCATACTTCGAAGTTACAGGCAAAACCCGGAAAAAAACAAAAAACAAAAAAAAACACAAAAAAAACAAGAGGTACATTCTGGTATTGAATGGTGACAATGCAGGGTTATAGAATATCAGCTTCCTGTGAAGTTCGCAGCCTGAACAAAACCTCTGCACTTCAACTATAGAATGCAAGCTTCCTACGGGATTTGCCACTTGACCACAACCCACTGAACTTGAACGATAAGTTCGCAAGCTGTCTTGCCGTGGATGGATTTAAGGAGTGCACAACCATGAATTTACTTCCTAACTGTTCAGGCTTTTGGCAACTTACGCTGAACCGACAAACTTTGAACCCTACAGACCCTAAACCCTAAGCCTGAAGGGACGACATGACGACTGCTCAACCTTCTCTGGCAGACTACTTGGAGGTTGAAGGGGCACTATGCGTGTGGCTTTACATCCCTAACGTGCGTGAACCTCGCTATCCTAAGAGTAGTCCCACCCATGACTAACAATGAGCTGCCAAATAGACAACCTACCGAGATCCCAAAACATGTTTGTTTAGGGAATGCTTATTCCTGCCCAGGACATATGGCATCAGCCCATGGAAAAGGATTCAGGATATACATGTTGCATGGTGCATCTTCTACGTCATGACGAATTAAAGGTTCGTCATTTGCTGTTGAAGGTAGAACCCTCTCCGCTGGGTGACGCTTGAAAATGTTTCTGATATTTTTGACCCAGCATCAAGCCAGCCTTCTTCTTCCCCTCGATCACCATTTGCTGGACATCTGCGTCATTTGTGAAGGTTTCAAAAAACTTTGCGTGCACTTCCAGCAGGCCGTCCATCATACCACCCATTGCTGCTACGCCTGGGGCGGTGACAGCAAGTGTGGTCGCGGCAAGCATGCATATCATATCCACTCCGACATGGAGTGCAATGAGCACTTTGTGCACAAGCTCTTTGAGTGGTAGCTCATGTAAGAAGTGCTTCGTCACCGCAGACACTGAAGACAGCAGCAACAGCATGGCCAGGCCGAGCTCAAACCCCCACCCAGCACGGCTTTGCTCCACTGTGCCAACCTTTTCCGTCCACAGCGCCTGCTCGGGAAACTCACTGCATGCGTACTTGCAACATGAGACACAGCAACCATGGACACCAAACCAAACATGAATTACTTCGAGCATCCCCACCCTAAAGCCGTTGTTGCACAAGAAATGTATTGTTTCCTGGAGGATTGGGCGCGAGAATATTACAGAGTGTGGTGTGATAATGATACCTGGAAGTTGTTGCAAGTGTGTGTGCAATTTTTTTGGCCGCCCGCCTCCCCTCCCCACCCCTCGTTGGTGCGCGCATAGAAGTCGGGCGTTGTAAGTGGCGAAATCAGCAAGAGTTAGCATGCGCTGTTGCTCAATCAAGAAACAGCTGCGCGCAACTGGCACTTTGTGAGTAAGCTGAAGGAACAAACAGAGTTGTGAATCATGATGAAATGTTGCGTTGAAGGCTTAGGATTTTTCGGTTGGCGCCTTTTCACGACAAGATTTGGGGAGATCCCTGTGTAATTGTTGAAGCTTGACGCTTGGGTTTAATGGTTCCGAAGATTAGGCGGCAGCTTATTTTCGGGAGTAGTTAGTATAACCATTTTCTTTTCAAGGGGTGACGGCGCAAAAGCTGGATGATGCAGGTTTTATAGGGGCCTTTATCAGGGTGGTAAGGCGCGCATAAGGCCCCCTCAAAGGGGCTTGAAGCGCTATACAGGTTTCTCAAAGGACGTATGGGTTCAACCCCACGGGTTAGAGAAACACGAGACTTTTTTCCTGACATATTGAGGTCTAAACAATTTTGCGTACATAAATGCTGCGTTGAAGGCTCAGGAGTTTTGGATTGGCGCTTTTCATGACAAAATCTGGGCAGACCCCTGTGTAATTTTTGAAGCTTGATGCTTGAGCTTAATGGTTCCTAACGTCAGGTGGCAACGATACCATGCGTGTCGGTACCGGAGTCCTGCGTCGCGGAAGCGACGCAAAAATGGAAATTTTGTTTAGCCGCATCGCAACGTTTTTGAAAACCTCCTACCGCGCCAAATTCGTGCTTGATTTGGTAGTGCTTGCAAAGGCATGTAACAACCCCACTGCGACTGCGAGAGTTGGGGAACTACAACAGACCTGGTAAGAATCATGAACCTGCATACAGAGAAGTTAACAAGCGTCTGCAAAGTTGAGAATGCCGGTCCCCTCTTTGTTTCCTCTTCTCCTCCTCCAACGTTCCCACCCCCCATCTCCGTTCCACTTCCTCGCTCCCTCTCCTCTTCCCCTCCGTGTGCCTCTTCAAGCCTCCGCTACCTCCCGTCACCCTGTTTCGGGGTTTAGGGTTCAGGGTCACCCTCTTACTCTCCCTTTCCCTTTACTGCTCCCGTCTCCTCTTCTGTTTCCTTGCCCCTCCTCCGATCTCTTCAATTCTTCTCTTGTGTCATCTCCTCTCCTGTCATCTCATCGTCTCATGTGTCCTCTGGCAACTTGAAAATCTCTCTGTATCCACTATACTTTTCTTTCCTCCTCTCCTCTACTCGCGTGCTCACATGTTCTCGAAAGCGACGATAGGCAGGAGGATCAGGAGCGAAGCACCCAATACCTGTGACGGTTGGCACTTTTGGAAAGAGCGAGAATGACAAGGCCTGCGTCCCTTCGACCAATGGCATCCTTGAAAGACAGCAAGGATGAAAGAGGTTACACTCAGACAAGCAAAGCGGGCCAGGACAAACCGAGCTCCCAGGTCCAGAGTACAAGGTCTTGCTAGATAGTAGGGAGCCCGGCGCTTAGCTGACCTGATCGCATCTCATGTTTCCTAACATCACAATTACAAAAGCAGCTGCAGCGCGGGTCACAAGCCACTTGCGCAAAGACATCACGATAACGAGATGACCATCGCAAGTACTCAGGGAGGAATCATCTGCATGGCTTTACTTCTACCAGCTATTTACCCCCATCTGAAGATTGGGGTGTACAGGACATTCACGTGCAGGGGTCATAAGGACTCGGAAGGTAATCTGGGAGTGTTTTCAGCAATTGTTTGAAGGTTTTTGAAGAACTCTCACATCCACCAAACCCTAAACCCTAAACTCCTTCTCCATCTTGTTGTAGAATATAGCGAGCTTGTCCTCGAACTCAAGTGGTTTTTTCTTCTTGTCTTCCGGCTCACTGCTTTTGCCACCACCCGCCAGATATTTTCCCGCTGATAACCTATAGTCTTCGAAAACGAAGCTCCATGTACCACATGTAAGAAGGATTGGCATGTTGGATTTTGAAATTTACGACCTGCGCGTTAGGGGCTTGATCAATGAAAGACTGCCAAGGACAATCCAGCGGCACTTTATCCACACTGACGTCGCTGACCTCGTCCACCACCGAGTTGAAACCCGACTCAGTAGCCGATAACCTACAGTCGGCAAAGAAGCTCAAAACACATGAATGTAGGGTTTAGGAGCCGTTGGGCTGGGGAGCTTAAGAAGCAGGGCTAAGAGCTCTAGTAGCTTTTGCAAAACGAAAGGCCAAAGGTCTTCTAGGACACTCCAGTGGCAAGCCATCTATCTCAGCTTGGGCAATAGCATGGCCCAACAGAGTGGTGGCAACCTCGCTCTGCTTGAACTTTTTGGTGATGTTTTTGAGCTCCAAAGCCTTGGTTGCTCTCAAAAAACTTGAATGAAGCTACCATAATGCGCATACACAGTTTCCATTTAATTCGCACAATGGGACCTGACCAAAACATCTTAACAGCAACTCAGAAGCAAACAAAGTATTCAGGACTGACATGTCGCCGCTCCCGACTCCGCCCCCTGTGTCAGGCTTTAGGGCTTCGGTATTACCCTCGGCGCCGGAATCCCAGCTTCCCTACAAACTAGCATGGACATCCCCGAAACGGCATGGCCCTATTCAAAACACGACAGTGCCCCACACCACCCCACGCTCCCCTAAATGAGCAGGGCTACTAAGCCTCGGGCGGGGTAGTATGGGCTGGATAATATGGGGACCCATGATGATAGCTTGGAACCTAGTCTTTTGGTGTACGGCAACGGGACAAACTCCCCCTCAATGTTCAATGGTCACTGTGGGTTGGAGCTCAGCCCACCTTCCTCCCGCAAATCTTCCAAGTGGTCGCTGGACCTTCAAAGAAATGTCCAGGCATTTGGGTGAGGGTTTAGCTAATTTTTGCTGGTTAGAGGCTAGATTTAAGTCCAGGTCATACACAGGGCATAGGGGCACTTAAGTTGTAGGTAAAGTCTGCTGATTGCATTATGACCTCTCATACAGCGGCCCTCGGCCTCCCATGATAAAGATTTGTCCCTAATCCGGACTGCGGTTAAGGAACTTAAGCTAAGTTGCTGCAATGGGAAAGCCCTATTAAGTGCACTATACAGACCCATTTGATAAGGTCATTTAAGCTCCTTGACAGCAACCCCGTACTGCCGCAGGCCCTCGTGCACAGGCCGCTTCCTTGATCGAGTCCTATAGTCCCGACATACCTTATACCCTAAACCTTAAACTCTAACCCCTGAACCCCATAAACCCTAAACCCCCAAAAGTTACAACCTTAAAATCCCTAAACCCCCGACCTACGCACCAGGGCGAGCAACCTTGATGCCAAAAACCAAGTATGCCGGCGGTCGAGCCTGGGCAGCTCGGTTGTTGTCAAGAAGCTTAAACTAAGTTACCGATATATACATATGTATATATATATGTGTGTATATATGTATATATGTATATGGAAAAGACAATGGAAATGACGATAAAAAGGTCATGTAGGTTTAGGGTTTAGCAGAATATGGGTACATCAATAGGATTTCCTTCGTATAGTACGTTAGTTTAAGTTCCGTAACAGCAACCCAGGCAGTGTTTGCCGTTCAAGGCTTGCCCAAGCCCAGAAGGTGCTCTTGTACCCAGTAGCTTGGCATCTTCGCTTTGCTTGAGGGTCTGAAGGAACCCCTGTTTTTATCAACGCCCCATGCGCAAGGGCATGATGAAACAAAACAAGCGACGCCTAAGATCCTCCCCAACCTACTCGATGTTGCTCCCCGTGGCTCTGAGTCTCGCAAAATAGTATAACTGTTTCTTACGATTCCGAGGCTAGATTTGGGCGAAAAAATCGAAAAATAGTACCTGTTTCGCGCGATTCCAAGCCCTGGCTAGAAGAATTGAAGTAGAAACAACCCTGAACCCTAATCCCTAAACCCTATCTTATGAAATCCCCTATATAACTCCCTTTTAAGTCCCTATAAACCCAGGAAACAATCCCTAAACCCCAACCACACAATGACCCAGCGCCGCCCGGACAGCCTTAGTAGGTTGGGAAATGTTGGGATCCGAAAGTTGCGTATCGTTTGAGCTATAGTTTGGGTCATTGCCCCTTACAGTAACTGTTACCACAATGGGTAATATGAGTTTTTATAACCCCCTAATAAGGCCCCTCTAAGGACAGTTACTGGGAGGGGGAATGACCCAAGCTATTGTCTAAATAACCTCCCAGTATCCCCCTTAAGAAGCCCCATAAGGCCCCCTGTATAATCCCCTACATAACCTCCCTTCAAGGAGTTGCCCCGCCAAACCCTAATCCCTAAACCCTATAGCTCATCTGGGGTTTAGGGTTCACAGCCAGATATCGACTGCTGACCGCCCACTCCTCGTCATTGTTTGCTTTAGCATTCTGAGATTTCTAGCTGGCCAAGTTTGGAATCCGAATCTGGGTTGCTGTTGAGGAGTGTAATTAAGTCACCAGAAATACAGGTATATAGTAAATGATAGGGTTTGCCTGTTATAGTACGTTAAATTAAGTTGCTTGTTATAGTACATTAAAATTAAGTTCCTTAACTGCAACCCAGTAATGGAACACGAAGCTCCAAAGCTTTGGACGGAATGAGATGTTACGAAGTATGTTTGCATGTCAGCCCGTGCTGAGCAGAATCCCCAACCTCTACACAGAAAGAATCCATCAAGAACTATTTGGCTTGTTTGGGGACTATCCCCCAATTGTCTCGTGCAAATCTCAACCGGCCAGTGCCGACTGACATAAAACACTGCCCTGCTGCAATTGATCCTTCTCTGGCAGGAAAGTCCATTGCGACGCTGAGCAGTGACAGCTACGCCACACTTGCCTATGTTTGGAGCTGTGTATGCAGATTACGAAGCACGAGCTTCATCTAGAGTTGTTAACTATACAGAACTAGACTGGGTTGTTGTTAAGGAAGATAAATTAAGCTACCACAATGGGAATATATAGTAACTAATCGGGTTTTCCCATTGTAGTAACTTAAGTTCTGTTCCTTAAAAGCAAGCCAATATAAGGTTGCACTTAGGGTTTTGGGTTTCAGGGTCTGGGAGGTTTGCAGTTTAAGAATGTAAGGATTTAGGGCTTCGAGCTTGCAATGCTACATCCAAAGCGAAACCTTGCAAGCCTAAGCGTTGAAAGCTGAAGGCCTTGAGCTTTGCTAGGTTTGCACTGTACTAAGAAAACCCTATGATTTACCAAATACTCGTATCATGGTAACTTAGATCAAGTTACAATAATGGGTATATATAGATATATCGTAATTAATAGGGGGTTCCCCCAATAACGTAGCTTAGCTTAAGTTCCTGAACAGCGAGCCAGTTTGCTTTGTAGCCTCGCCCAAGTCGGATGCGGCCCGCTTCCTGTGCTCGGCTCGGGCTGTCCTGACTTGCCTTTGCAAAATCGTCTTCTGCGACTTCCTTGGCTATGTTTCATGCTTGGCAAAATATCAGGCAAAAGCGTCAGCACAGAAACATGCCGTAATACATCCAATTACCTCGTCAGCATGGGCATCAAAATCTCAGCACGGGGTCTTGCGCATCACCTAAATGTAAGCACATGGGGGGCTCACCCAAAAAGAGGACAGATGTTCCTAAGGTCCTTTTTGGGCACCCTAGATATTTCGGGGCACCTTGTAGGGACTATGATTTGTACGACCTTCCATACGCAACAACCGTAATGTAATTAGTATCTGCTCTAGGAATACGAAACTTGCGGCCAACGCGGTTTCTGTAGCTAATATGCTTCCTTGAATCTGTACTCGAGCTGTCTTTTCCCATACCTGCTCGTCAACGTCATTCACGCTTTGCGAATTCGTCTTCTGCGACTTCCTTGGCTATGTTTCATGCTTTGCAAAATATCAGGCAAAAGCGTCAGCACTGAAACATGCCGTAATACATCCAATTACCTCGTCAGCATGGGCATCAAAATCTCAGCACGGAGTCTTGCGCATCACCTAAATGTAAGCACATGGGGGGCTCACCCAAAAAGAGGACAGATGTTCCTAAGGTCCCTTTTGGGTACCCTAGATATTTCGGGGCACCTTGTAGTGACTATGATTTGTACGACCTTCCATACGCAACTACAGTAATCTAATTAGTATCTGCTCTAGGAATACAAAACTTGCGGTCAACGCTGTTTCTGTAGCTAATATGCTTCCTTGGTTCTGTAGGTAATATGCAAAGCAATAAGGTTGGAGGAGAGAGGATCGCTTCACGCAAAGAAGAGCTGACAGTTGTGGTATGCATCTTACAAAAGGGCACCTCTAATCCTTGTATTCTCCGCTGCTGGGATATTCTTTTCAGAAATACAAGTCCCGTCTTGAATGCCGCTCGAGCGTCTCGTTAACGGTATCTTCGAAATTGTAGGATTGCGTTTGCGATTGGACAAAGTCGATCTTTGTCACGTTGGGATGCACCTTGCTCCTTGGCTCGATAATTGGAAGGGTTGAGGGTTGAAGGTCCCTTTTCTGGGCTTTCATTGTCGTTAGTATACCTTGGGGTCTATGTCGCTCACCTATTTCTCAGATTTACTTAACTAGTGAATGTTCCAGCTTTGACTCATAGCTCTTCTTTCAGCCTGTATGAGTGACAACTTGAATGCCAGTCCAGCATGAACTACCTGGTATGAGTTGGGACGTTGTCATTCGAAGCTGTGATATTGCTCAACAAGTCTACGACACGATTTAAACATGCATCAAAGCGTCCAGGGTTATACCCCCCTTGGTGCTGACATGGCGCTTCTATGAACCAATGCAATCGCCTAGATTTGCTTAAGATTTGCTTGAAAGGATCCTTATGCCTCAAATCCCGAGGTACAACTCGAGGGCTACAACCCTGCAACCCTTTGATGTAGTCATCTGCCTGTTCGCTGAGTCTTTTGTGTGCTTGCTAGAGCCCTCAACCTTAAACCCGAAAGCCTAAAACACTAAACCCTAAACCCTAAACCGCTCAACGTGGTCTTGGCTGAATACACGGCTTCCACTGAAGCCTACTGTACCACCTCTGAGTTTAACATCCCTAAGCTCGCAAGCCTGAGTGTATGGGACCACCCAACAAAATCATGAGTGTGCCCCCTGAAGTCTAAACCCCGGGAGGGCTCTTCATTGCGAAGGCGCGGAACATTAATGTGCAAAACGATGCCTTTATGATGCTGGGCCCGGGTGTGGTCTGAGCTTTGGGGTGTCAAGGCGTGGGCGACTGCAGCTTACGTGGACAGGCCGGTCCACTCTGCTCGGCTTCCAAGAAAATCCTTGCAACTACGAAAATTTTAGATGGGGACTTACGCAAGAGTCCCTAGAAAAAGGTAGGCTATTGGCATTCTTTCAGGCCTCCCTGTTTACAGACCCCCGTCCACCCGCAGTGTTCTTGAGGGAATCCCGGAACGTTCACGCTACATGTTCAAGCGAAAAGCTTTGCTGGCAAGCGACTTGCTCAAAAGGCAATCCTCTCTCATCCCAATTGGGTTTAATGCAGCTGAAGATTATACACATATTTGGCCAGAAGTTACTTTTTAGGAGCAATGTTGGGCCTGAAGTATATACCGGTCCTACAGAGCGCACCGTCAGAAAAGGCGCCAGTCCCGTTTACCTCATACCATAAGAGCCCTTGCAAGGACCGAATACGCTCTTACCATGTATGGCCACGAACTCTTGCAGAATGGCACATCGAAGCAAGTGAGCTCTGGATAAAACTGGTAAACTGGAGCAGTGCTCGTAAACAACAGGAAGGTGCTGCAATCTAGCTGGCAATCATTCTTTGGGGCATGCACATAGCATCGTGAATTTGGGAAATACCAAAATACTCTGGCACTAAACCTTAATTAAGCACAGGCCCCACAACACAAAGAATCCAACACCTGCAAGAAAGTCATTTTCTGTGATCCACTAGTTCGGGTGAGGTTGGGTGAGGTCGCAACAATTTGCTCTGTAAACCCTTGCACAGATGCGGAAGAAGTCTCCCACAGGTCAGGCGGAAAGGGACTTGCGGGACTGCGCATAGCGCCTGGCGTGAGTTCAACCGACTGTCAACACTGTTTTTACTGATCGTGCCATTATTACGATTATTAACCAGTAGTAGTAGTAGTAGTAGTAGTAATGGTAATAGTAGTACTACTGCTACTGCTACTACTACTACTACTACTCCTACTACTGCTACTGCTACTACTCCTCCTCCTCCTCCTCCTCGTCCTCCTCCTACTCCTCTACTAGTATCACTGTTATTGCTGTGACTATTTTCGTTAGTACTACTGCGCAGGCTTTAGCTTCCAGTAGCCACTCCACAGCAATATGCCTTCTTCTACTGGTAGCCCAAACTGCACGTTCTGGGCCACTGAGAAAAGTCTAGGGGTGTAGGGTTAGTCTCGAAAGCTACACTTTGTACCTCGACTCCCTGATTGAGGTTCTGCAGACCAAATCCTACATCTTTGATCAAGAACATGGCGAGGAGCAACACAGATTTTCCCGATCATTGCATGGAAAGGCGCCTTCCCAGCTTTCTCAGTTTCAGCCCTCAACACAAAGCCCCTGCCTTCTGCTCTTCGTAATTGGACCCTGAAGATCTTGCCTCAACAATTTTGATAACACCCTTGAAAGAGGCAGGTTAGAACCTCTGCCAGCATTCACAGTCCTTTCCATGTCCCTCCTACGACGCTTTAACACCAAGCCCGTCCTTAAGCTCTGAACCTTAGACCGTAAACTCTAAACAGCGTGGGATCCAAGCACCAAGCCCTGCCCACTTTGATGCTCGCATCTGTGGACTCACTGCATTATATATATATATACATATACAGGGATATACCCATACGGCACAATTACTTAGTTCGATTGCCTTAAACATGCATGAAAGTATCACAAACAAGCATCCGCCGAAATTCTGGCAAGTTTTCTTCAATTTCACAAGTACTTGAGGTCTCTACTGAGGTTGGAGAGTGCTCGGAATCAAGGCACATAGCCAGACGGCTCACTCAAGTTCATCTGAATAAAAGCTTTAAGGGGGCAGCGCTATGTATCCCAAAACTCACCCAAAACCAAGCCCCGGGACCATAAGCCCCAAGTGTCCAAGCATCCGATTAAGAATGGCAGTAAGTGGGCTCCGTGCTACATACTTTTATTGTTTCACTTTTTACCTATTTCATTGATACCTCAACCCTTTAAGGTAGGCCCGAAGCCCCAGAATATGTAATCGAGGTAAGTCCCAAAACCCTATTTTTCGGGTTGCTACATGTCTTACCCTTGGTTAACTAGGTATGAAGGAAACGGTCTTTTTAATAGTCCCGATATACACCATTGTAACGGTTTCCATTTTCTTTTACACCCTTTCACTCCCTGCGAACCGAAGGTAAGCAAACCTTGAACCCTCAACCAAACCCTAAATCCTAAACCGCTTTCGAGCCTGATCTTCCTTTCTCAGGTGCTCAGTGAAGATGCCTTCCTCATGGCCCCAGGCCTCGGACACCTTTGAGGGAACATGAAACAAAAGCTAGGGTTTAGGGAGCAGGGTTTAGGGTTTCGGATCTAGGGATTAAGGTTTAGGGACTAGGGAGGATTATATGTATTCCGCCGACTTTTGGGGGGCGTACTTACAGCAAGGATGGCGGCTGCATTTTCCTACAACAGGCCCCTGGGCCCGGGCCCCAGAGTTTTGGGGGCCCAGATCCCAGGCCTGCGGGTCCTGGGCCCAAGCACGGGTCAGGCGTCAAGACACATCTGCAACAATGCTTGGTCATGCACATTCCCGGCAACCTGGCTTGTTGCGCNNGTTGCGCCGATTGGTTTCGTGCGCAGCCACTGAAAGCAGCAAGGCTAAGGAGTCCCGGCAGCCTGGCTTGACCTAGTCTTGTTGCGCCGATTGGTTTCGTGCCAGCCGCTGGATAAATCAAGGTTTACAAGTCCGGCCTGGGGTGATTTTTGGACATGTTTTCGAGGCTTCCCCGCACGCTACGGAAGGTTTGGGGCCATTTTTTTCCATCAACACATTTGGGCCTTCGTTTATTACTTTTGGACACCTCAACATACCTCGGGTTTTGGAGGTGTGTTGGAACTTCATATGTGTGGTGTCAAGAAGGAAATTTGGGGCCCAAACAGGCCCCCTGATGCGGCTCTTGGGGGCTGCTGGGCACTAAAATGCGTTACAAACACCAACAAAACGCTCAAAACACCCGCTGTGGGCAATGTTTGTGGCTGTAATCAATGTTGGTCGGATCTGCACTGTATGACACGCATGAGACAAGTTTGGCGTGCATCGCCGAGGCCAACCACTATAATGCGCACGTTGCGTGGTTTTGGGGTGTGCTTTGCCCATATTTCCAGCACTGTTGTGTCTCCTAAGCTTGTCGCATACCTGAAATGTGGCTGCTGCTTTGCACGAAACTGCATTCGTGGGCTAGAATATGGTCAGCCTGCGAGGAGAACCATGTTCAAAGTCGTCTTTGATGGCTTTTCTTGAGTTTTTGACACCTCCTAGTCCCAGTCAAGCCAAAATGGTGTCCCAATTCTGCAGATGATGCTTCTGTACGAGGCGCGCGTGCCTCTCGTGTAGGGAAAACTAAAGAGAACAGGACCTTCCAAACCTAAAAACATGCTAGGTAGCAAGAACATAACTTTTTCGTACGTTTCTCTCAATCAGGAGCATCAGCAGGGCTGGGGTGGGCTTGGCTTTCACATGATGGCTGGGTGGGCAGGGGGGGGGCGGCCTCCAGGCAGGCACTTGCTGCCAGGCCCTAAATTAAGGCGGTCTCTTGGCTTTAGGCATGCCCTTTTTAGGTGAGTGTCAAGCCACTCATTTGAAATATCTACAGCAAGGCAAGGCTTAAAGCCATGCGGTTTAGGGATTTGGTTTTAGGGTTTAGGATTATTCAAAGGCCATAATTCCAATACAAGAGCTATTCGGCAAATGGTGGTTTCCCTAAATAGGGGGACCTCAACATAGATCCCAATATACTATACTCCTTATTATAGGGACCTCCAAAATGGTACCCTTAATTTTGGGAAGCACCCTACTTCAGCCTCAAAATCCGGCGATGTGGGTCCACGGGAATCTTTTTGAGCAATCAGCGAGGCTGGATTGGGGCATGGGACGACCATTGCCAGTTTGTAGGGTTTAGGGTTGCGATTGAGCAAGCCTCTTGCGGACATCTCTGTGCAGATCCGGCATTGGGAATTGCAACTGAGTAAAAAAGTCGTACCTGCTTAAAAGGAGCTCGGCCCAAGCGTGCTTGAAGGTCCGAAAGGCTTCAGGACCAACCCCAACACAGTAGCAGTGACAATCTCTTCTTTAGACAGCTGCTGTAAGAAATTTGAATTAAGGTAACATGAGGAAACGATATCATTACCCTATATCTGTATTCTGGCAACGCGGGTTTTAATGTACATCTAACTTGCTGAACAGTAACCAAGTTTACGATGGCAACGGCCTGTTCTCATATG